ACCAGTAGAATGATATGCATCACTTGTAGAAAGCCCACTTCGACCAATGGTCCTTCCCTTGTAAGATTCTAAGACTTATGGCCAATTTCATTTTATTAGCGTGCATTTGCACACATTCAAAGTAAATAACTCGACCGTGTAGTCTACTATAAATTATCCTGCATCCAAAAAAACCACGCATGTCGCATGTTGGTTCGCTTACAAGATACACCTTTCAACATCTATAGACATGATATTGAAGAGCGCAAAATTATCGGTTGACAAGGAACTGTTGCTGCAAATTGAAATATATAACCAGGATCGATAGTAGAGTTGGTAGATTGAAAAATTTGGCTGCTTCATTGAGTATTTTTGCTGCCTATAAAAATAGCTGTGAGCACAAAAGATGTAAGTTTTATGGAAAGGCTTATGCTTGTATATCACTTGTACAGTGGCGTCTCAATGTGGCTTCTCTTGCAAGAATTGCTTCTCACTATCAGTGTAGTGCGCTTCGCTTCTTACAAGGAAAGGATAACTGGTAGCCGTGGCCTTTTGGAATATGTTACACATCAGAATGCTCTCTTTGGAACGCTTACCTTAAAGCTATGTTCTTTATCTGAGGAAAAATAGCGCTTGTAAAAGTAAACGCAAAAATTTGCACCGAGCGCTGACCGCTAGACCAGTCGACACCTGTAACACCCACAAACATTATTAGTACTCTTATGAAACATATCAGATATGAGGAGACATGGTTTTTCTAAATGATCGTTCCGCAGAAACAAATATAGCATTGAGACCAGCGTTTCGAGGCGAATTATGATATATGTCACATATCGAAAAGCTACGGCCACCAAGTATCCTTGCCCCGTTAGATTTTCAGCATGGAAGGCACTGTCTGACTAGATCGCTCTTGAGTTTTTCGCGATCGCAACCTCATGATGTGCTAGCTCTGCTTGCAAAGATGTCAAAAATTTGCTGGTGCAGTTGTGTGGGCGAAGTCTGTAGGTTCTCGGCAATCACGGCAGCGATTGGCTAATTGGCTTCCTCAGCCAATTGCTGCTGCGGCCGACCAATCCTACCTACTCCGTAATAGATACCTACTGCCAAAAAAGCAATTAAGTGACCTTTCTTGCGAGCTTTAACAGTTCAATACACCCAAATGACGAAAAACTCAAAGAAGATCCATCTGTACAGTGCCTCTGAAAATATCACTGTTTCCGTCAAATTTCAGGTGTCGTCCAATCTCCAATGTCACCCGAATTTCCTGTGTTCACACGTCAATCATCAGCGGATGCAGAAAACGCAGAACCTATGCCTCGTGGCGATAGCGCAGTGATCAGAAGTGTGCCTTCAAGTTCTCATCTAGTTGATGCTAATCGTCAGATACCAGGAACTCCCGCATATCAAGTCGCCACGATACCATCTACACCCCTTAGAAGTACGTCCATCCCTCCAAGTTTGCCTTAACTTATGGTTTGTTGCTTCAGCCGGCAGTTCGGGCGTAATGCCTCCAGCTACCGTAGTAGGTTTATCAAATGGCGCTCCTGTTCTGCTCGTTATAGGTAAACGCTGCTTGGTCTTCTCTTTGCAAAGAAACTTTGTTCAAGTTTCTAAATCCGCTCTTGCAGGTGCTCCTGGCTCTCAAACTTTCGAAATAGCGAGTCGTTTGGCACAGCAGCATGAGGGATTCCTCTTCCTTTCTATGGGAGTGCTGCTGAGGGACAAAGTGAAAGCAGAGAAGGAAGACGAATTGTGGCAGAGAGTTGGAAGAAAAATAGAAAAAGGCGAACCAGTGCCGATGGCAAGTATCTAGCGCTAGTTTTTTTTTACGAATTTTCCACTTTGCTTCTTCTGCAGCCTAAATTGATACATCTCGCCAAAAAATTATTTCCTTGATAAGAGGAAAGTGGACACAGAAGCACAGTCTATCTCGATTATAGTGTGCTTTACCAATGGCAGGGGGAGGAGTGGATCGCTTAGACCACCATCGGCCTCTTCGACCGAGGAAGCATGCAAGGCCCTCGCGCTGCGGATGTAGTCTAGGCAAAAGACTTTGCAAGTGAGACAGAGGCCAAAGAACAATCGCGGACAGTGCAATTTGCGATTGGAGGCCAAAATTTAACTAATCGCAAACTTTACAGTACGCAATCAACTAGTTTTCGCTGGATTCTGCTGAAGTGCCATACTTTAGTTGTCTGGAAATTACCGGAAGCATTAAAAACACCAAAGTCAGTATGGTCAGCGCTTTT